AACAATACTATTTTTTTTAATTTTTAAAATTTTTTGTTTTTTGGGTTTTTATTGTTTATTTTAGATGGAGTCTCAAATAGAGAATGCTATGAATGCTATGGCATAAGCCTAGCTAACAGTAACCTTGAATTCCTGAGTTCAAGCAGCCCTCCCTCCTGAGTAGCTGGGACTACAGGCACCTGCCACAACACCCAGTTAATTTTTGTCTTTTTAGTAGAGACGGGGTCTCACTCTTGCTCAGGCTGGTCTCAAGCTCCTGAGCTAAAGTGATCCTCACAGCTCAGCCTCCCAGAGTGCTGGGATTTCAGGTGTGAGTCACCATATCTGGCCTACACACCACCATTTAAAAACAGCTCTTACCAAATTGGATAGAAAAGCAAGATCTAATTATACATTGCCTATAAGTAATGCACTTACAGGTAATATACAAATGATACTTTGTATACAAATAGATTGAAGGGCATACAGTGCTAATCCCAAAGAAAGAAATGAAAACTACATCATACAGAGTAGACATCATAGCAAACTAGATAGCAGAGACAAAGTAATTTCATAATGATAAAGCAATCAATTCATCAAAAGGACAAAATCTTAAACATTTATGCATCTAATAACAGAGCTTCAAAATACATGGAAAAAAGGGAACAAGAGAAACAGGGAAGCCCATCATTATAGTCAGATATTTAATACCTTTCAGCAATTAATAGAACAAACAGACTGAAAAACAATATGGAAATTAAAGACCTAAACAAGACTATCAGCCAACTAGATCACACTGACAGTTTTGAACACGCCACCTAACAAGAGCAGAATGCAATTTCTTTTCAAGTGCTCGTGGAAAGAACATTGACCCATATTGAACCTATTCGGATCCATAAAACAAGTCTCAAAGTATTTAAAGCATTCGATCATACGTAGTATACTCTCTGGCCATAACGACAGTAAATTAAAAATAACATAAAAATCTCAGGAAAATCCCCAAATAGTTAGAAACTAAGTAATGCAGAAGAACTCTATCAAAGGTCAGTATATCTGTAGTATTGGTATGTTATCAGAAAGAGTTTGTCCACAAGTTTGATTTAGTTTTTAGATATGCAATTATTTCAGTTCTTAGGTGGAAAAATTTAGTTATTATAAGAATCACTTTAAAAAAAAAAATCAAAACCCACCAAGTATCTGGACTTCGTGGCCCTCATCATAAAAGGAAATTATACACGTCCGGCACAGGAAGACTAATTATAAAATAATCTTAACCTATAGCTATCCATTACAATCATACAGCCAATTTCTAAAACCACATTTTTTTAAAGTTCATTGCAACCAAGAAAGACATAAAATCATCTGACCAGCCCTTCCTAGTATATTCTGTTGAACCACCAAACTGGACGCTCAGATATGTCGCATGTCTTCTTAGAACTGTTTACTGGTAAACCCAGTGATGAAATATCAGCCAACTAAAACAAGAGAGAAAGTACCTAATGAATCTATTGAAAAGGAAGACGGTGCTCCGGATGACTCGAGCGGTGCGTGACTCTTCGTGCTGAGATCTGGATAAATTCAAGCCATCATCCATGTGGCCTTCATGGTGCATGATAGCCTGGAAGAAAGCAAAACCAACGCCATTACTACAGCATCTCCATCCCACACTAAGGAGCTAAGGAGAGACACACTGCACCCCTAGGGTGACCCGATTTTAAAATCTGTAAGGTGGGACAACATGGCCGGGGGGCGGAGCGGGGGCGGGGCAGGGGACGGGGCAGGGTCTGACAACAAGGCAAACTTTGATAATCAGTTCTCGATAATCACTTCTCAGCAATTATTTATTACAGTTTAACATTATAAAATTAACAAAAATAATATAAAACTCACATTCTGGCGAAATAGCCATATGGCGGCCAAAAACCCTATATTCCCTTCTTGTTCTCCAGCCGGTTTGTGCATTCTTTCCAAAAATGGGGACTTTTTAAAAATGCCGTGGGACTGTCCCACCAAAATTGGGACGTCTGGTCACCCTATGCACCCCATGAGCCATGGCAATCAATGGAATCTGAGGACAGTGCAGGGGTGAGCGAACCCATTATGTTCAGATAAATAATATGCACAGGTTCCTATACACATTAGACATTCCATACATTTATTTAGTTACCGTTTCTAAAAAATGATTCAATAATGTATTGAGTTGAGCAAAACAAACAACAGAGCCTTTTTATCTATCTAGGTTCAAGGACTGATCCACAGCCTAAGCAAACTTGGTACCAAACAGCAAGGGAAACATTATATGGGCACACCTGTAATACACGAGCTCTGACTATAGACTGGGTAGTCAATAAATGTTGAAAGATGCATCAAAGGCATCTTTTGTTATTAGTTTTTTTGCTTTTGAATTTTCTATGAAAGTATAACATTAGGAGAGAGACGTGTAAGTCTTAAATGAAAAGCTCTGTGATTTTCACAAAGTAGACACCCTCTGTAACCAACACCTTGATCTGGAAAGAGATTTACAGGCACCTTAAGATTACCCTTACTGAATGGTGCCTGTGGCTCAAGGAGTAGGGCACCTGCCCCATATACCAGAGATGGGGGGTTCAAACCCAGCCCCAGCCAAAAAAAAAAAAAAAAGATCCCCCTTAGCACTGCCTTTCTATTTGATCCTTCACAAAGTTCACCCTCTTCCAGACTTTTAGCAACGTGGATCAGTGGCATACTATATATAAGTAGAACAATTGAGCACATTTGTGCCTGGCTTTCTTCATTCAACATTTATGGCAAAGTTACTAATACACCTACTCAGGCGTACTGAACTACATTTATTAACTGGAACTATTACCATAAACTCTCTAGAAAGCCATTATAAAGAGGAACTCTTATACCAAAATCAATAAGATGTAGATGTTTCTATCCAAAAGCAATATTCTAGCCTTAAATGCTTTCATTAATAAAGAAAAAATAGATGAAAATGAACTTAAAGTCATTGTAAGGCTCTAATAAAAGAACAGCAAATAAAGTTGAAAGTGTAACTAATGAAGATAAAAAGAGAAATTAATAAACTAGAAGCTAAACAAAAAGGATTAATAAACCAAACCCAATATTTGATTCTTTTAGACAATGAACAAAATAAACTTCTCATAAACTAGGCTAAAGATAGACAGGAAGCAGACACAGATAATTAGAAATTATAATAATAATGTGTGCAACTCTTTTGTGAAAAAAAAATAGGGTATTTCAGAGAAATAGCACAGATTTCTATCAAACTAAAAATCAAAAGGAATCCCACCCCAACAAAGTAGAAAATGTGATTAAACCAGTTTCTTTAGAAAAGACTGGAAAGATAAGTTATGAGTCAATATTTATAAGACATAAGACTAGATGGTTTCATAGGCAAGCTTTGATAAACCTTCAATGAACAGATACTTTTAAGAGTAGCCTATTCTAGACTAGGGGTTGGCAAACTGTGGCTCATCACCAGTTTTTGTATAGCCCATGAACTATGAGTGTCTTTTACATTTTTCATGAGTTGAAAAATAACCCCAAAGAATGATATTATGACATGTGAAAATTCATACAGGAAAACTGCATAAAATTCATATTTTGGTATCTGTAAATAAAGAGAATTTCCCTATGAATATGTATATAATAATTCTGAAAAAAATACAGTAGAACCTCTGTAAGTTGACCACCCAAGGGGCTGTAACTAACTGAACATTAGGAACTAGACCTGCTGTACACTGAGAACATGTACTGAGTTTCCAGTCTATGCAAATTAGGTCAGCTTAAGGAGGTGGCCAATGTAAGGAGGTGGTCAAGTATAGAGGTTCTACTGTTTTTATTATATCTAGTAGACTGTCAAAATAATAATACCCTATGGTGAAAAAGGATTTATTCTATGAATTCAAAGATTCTTCAATAATTGGATGTCTGGTAACTTACTTTATTAACAAATTAAAGGACATGAAATCATAATTTTTATCTCTTTCAATTAATAAAACTCAGCAATCATTGCTATTTTTTAAAAGCTAAGCAAAATAGAAATAGGAGATTATTTAAATGTGAAAATAATTTCACTTCAGAAAATACGCTGAGCTGAACTGACAACCAGTGTAGATGAAACACAGCAAGCTGAGACAAAAAGGGGACCTAGGTAAAATAACCAGAAAAAAAAAGGAATAAAAATAAAATTTCGTAGACAATGAAATGGCTTAGGGACACACCATCACCAAAGAAAACAAAATGAGTGCTTTGCAAGACACCTGAGAAGCAAAGTGTAGAGAAAAGGTCAGAGAGATAAGAACCTTGAGAGAGGAGACGGGATGGAGGGGGAAACTAGTCCTGTTCTGAGAAAGAAACTAGCAAACTAAAATGGCATGAAAACAGAAACAAAGACATGGTCAAACAACACTTCACTTAGTTTTAACAACATCTAAGTGTGCTGGGCGGCCCCTGTGGCTCAAGGGAGTGGGGTGCCAGCCCCCTATGCTGGAGGTGGCAGGTTCAAACCCAGCCCCAGCCAAAAACTGCAAAAAAAAAAAAAAATAAGTGTGCTGATTAAAATCCTTGGTTCCAGATGCATTTCATAATTCAGAGTTCTTCAGATATTTTTTTGAAGTCCTATGGAGTATAATGAACACCCCCAGGGGCTGTTACTCCATAATTAGCAAAGTTCTACTTCTGCAGCAAAATATTAAGATTCAATGATAATAACTTAGAATTAATTAGGTTTTCTCTTTTACGGCCTGTAAAGTTGATTTCACGTTACTTCACTAACATAAGCAAGACTGTTTAGTTTTTTACTCACACTTGTCAACTATTCTAGGAAGGCAAGCTTTAGGTTGTCTAGGATAGAGGATATAAGTCCCATTCTGACTCTAATCCATGGTTGAAGAACAAGATCACAGAACAATGATTAGGAACCCTGGGCATTACTGGAGCAGACTGAAGATGGGGTGGCCAGAGGTAAGAGGAGCGATCTGGGTTGTCATGGGAAGGAGCCTGGAATTATTATGGGGGGTAAGGCTCAGTCATGAAGGGTTGAACGCAGGTCAGAATGGAGTCAGAAGAGGTGAGGCTGCGGGTAGAGAGACTGATGAGGGGGTTTGGGAACAGTGCACACAAAGACCATGAACTCTGAATTAGATTTGTAAGGATGAAGCAGAGGGGCCTAAGATGAGGCACAGTCAGAAGATAAATTTGTCAGGACTTTAATTAATTCATCAGAATAAAGCAAGAAAATAGTGGACCCCGATACTTAGTTCCATACAACATAGTTAAAAGATAGCATGTAAAATCTGTTCTAGAGTTTACAGTACCCCCCAAAATCATTTTATTTCCAACTATTTAAACTTGTAATGAAAAAGTACATTCAGAATGTGGCTTTAAAAATTAATTCGAGAGGGCCAGGCATGGGTACTAGAAGATGTGTTCCACTTCCATCCAGGTTAATACAAAAGATGTAAAGTCTCCATCTTTTTTAGTGGCTGAATAATATTCAATGGTGTACATACACCACAAATTGTTAGTCCACTCCTGGGTCAGCAGGCATATAGGCTGTTTCTGCGTTTTGGTAAAACAGTCCAGTGCAAATGTCTTTATGATAAAATGTGCCCAGTAATGGGATTGCAAGATTAAATGGGAGGTCTAGTTTGAGTTCTTTGAGGATTCTCCATATTTCCTTCCAAAAAAGCTGTAGTGGACTTCAGTCCTACCAGCAGTATAAAAGTGTTCCTTTTCTCCACAGCCACACCAGCATCTGCAGCTTTGAGATTTTGTGATGTGAGCCATTCTCACTGGGGTTAGGTGATATCTCAGGGTGGTTTTGATTTGCATTTCTCTGATAATTAGAGGTGATGACCATTTTTTCATATGTTTGTTATCCATTCTTTAGAAGGCTTCTTCAGAGAAGGTTCTGTTCATGTCTCTTTGCCCAGTGATATAAGGGATTGCTGTTTCTTCTTATACTGCTTACTTTGAGTTCTCTATAGATCCTGGTTATCAAGCTCTTGTCTGATTCATAATATGCAAATATCTTTCCCCATTCTAATGGTTGTCTGTTTGCTTTGGTTGTTGTCTCCTTAGCTATACAGAAGCTATTAAGTTTAATTAAGTCCCATTTGTTTACTTTGGTGGTTGTTGCAATCGCCACTAGAGTCTTCTTCATAAAATTTTTCCCCAGGCCAATACCTTCAAGTGTTTTCCCCACATTTTCTTTGAGGATTTTTATTGTTTCATGCCTTAGATTTAAATCTTTTATCCATCTTGAATCAATTTTAGTGAGTGGAGAAAGGCGTGAGTCCAGTTTCAGCCTTTTACATGTGGATATCCAGTTCTACCAGCAGCATTTGTTGAATAGGGATTCTTTCCCCCTGTTTATGTTCTTATTTGGTTTATCAAAGATCAGGTGGCTATAAGAGGTTAGTTTCATCTCATGGTTCTATTTGGTTCCAGATGTCTGTGTCCCTATTTTTGTGCCACTACTATGCTGTTTTAATCGCTATGGCCTTGTAGTATAGCCTAAAGTCTGGTATGCTGATTCCCTGACCTTGATTTTATTATTAAGAATTGCCTTAGCTATACATCATTTTTTCTGGTTCCATACAAAATGAA